GCCGTGTAGTAGCCGGCACCGGGAAGTCCAGCCATCAGCTCGTCCTTTGCGTTGCGTCTCTTCCAATGCGATGATGGCGTTGTGCCCCCACCCTCATCCTCCAGCTCCATTCCAGGGGCACTTGTGCAGTTGAAGTGCGCACGAGTCTTTTCCAGCGTCTTGGGTGAAGACACCACAAGCACGTTTTCTTTTCCACGAACCTCAGGTATCGTCCGTGTCATATTCCTGGCCTCAAAAACTTCCACCTCAAACCCAAGTGTGTGCGCGATCTCATGCGCCGCGATACGAACACTGAACTCCGAATAGGTGACTGAACCCGGGCCAATATTTATCACCCCGACCACAGGACGTCCATCGGGCAACTCAACGCACCCCAATGCCCACGCATAAGTAAAACTTTCAGTCGGTGCAGCAGCGGCGTACAAAACCATGTCCGCGCCGGACACACCCGTCGTGTGGTGGGAGCTGGGTATTTCAAAATTGCCGCATGTGTCTCCAGCCGAAAAATTCTTAACAATCACTGGGCGCTTCTCCGGTTGAACGTGGAGACGATCCACGTGCAGCTGTATGGCTCGGGGAAGCATCTGATCCAAGATGATGGACTTTTTTTCAGCCGTAAGAACATCCTGTTGCTGGCACACACGGACTCCTCCTTCCAAGTCCGGGCGGTGCTCTCCCGCAGCGCCGCAGTACTTGGAAGGATTGTTCATGTCCTCCGAGAAGACCTTAAAACGGATGGGCGCCCAGCCAGACACAGAGGCAGTCAACACCTGCGTCCCGCCACGCCCCCGGCTCGGTAATTCACGCACAACTGCCCTCATCGGGGGCGCATGCTTGCGAGAAATGCGGTCAAATATGCAGCGATGCTCGGCGGCGGCAAAAGAACTGGTGAAGCAGCAGAGCAGCAGCAGCAACAGGACGTGCAGAGTGTGGCGCATTCTTCGTGTCTTTCCTTTGCGTGGCGTCTCGTTCCCTTCTTTCCTTCTGTGCTTCACTTGCTTATTGTGTCGTTTTACTCTGATTCGTGTCTAGTG